AACAGTCAATTTACCAAATATTAATTAAAGACTTAAAGAGCGAGGGGGAGGCCTAAACCCACGGTTTGACCAAGTAGTTGAAGACGGATATGAATGTTAATCAAACGCATATCCCGTCTTACATCCATTCCATACGAATGGGGTGAGGCTATAAGTCGGTCAGTCCACCGACCCGCGCTGACTGGCTTTGAGTCAAACATTTGATCAATTCCAAACAGTACCCAACCCAAGCACACTCTTTTGACGGACGGTGTTCCATTTATACCATTTCAAACATTCAACGGTCAAATATTCAAAACCCAGCTTCTGTGCTCCTTTATTATTCCTTCTCCTCCTCCTCCTCCTCATTTTATTTTAAAAACCTTTTCCCCAGTTTCAACGTTGAACCGCGTCCTTATTTTAAACATTGCACACGTACAACATCTAGCCTCATAATATTTATAGAAACCCATTCTCATTCTCATTCAACACAAACACACAATCATCCTCTTTATACCTACTCAACTTAATTCAGATCCACATTCAATTCAATAATCATGACTTTGTCATGGAGAAGGCTGAGGCCCGGCCGCCGTGCCTCCAAGGAGCTGCACCTAGGCGAGCCCGCCGACGTGGAGATGGAGCTCACCATACCAAACCATTTCCGCTGCCCCATCTCACTAGACCTCATGAAAGATCCGGTCACCTTGTCCACTGGAATTACGTACGACCGCCAAAGCATAGAGACGTGGATCGAAGCCAGAAACCTGACTTGCCCAATTACCAACCAAGCCCTCACATGTCTCGAGCCCATTCCCAACCACACCATCCGCAAGATGATTCAAGATTGGTGCGTTCAGAAAAAGTCCTTCGGCATTGAACGCATTCCCACCCCTCGCATCCCAATCACTTCTCTTCAGGTCTCCGAGATTCTCTACAGAATTACTACAGCCGCAGCCAGCCATGGTCAAAAGCAGGATGATTGCAGAGATTTGGTGCGGAAGATCAAGGCCTTGACAAAAGAAAGCGAGCGCAACAAGCGGTGCGTTGTTGCTAGTGGCACGGGGAGCGTTTTAGCCGCTGCTTTTGCTGCACTTTCATCCTCTCAACGTCAAAACGTTGCCGTCTTGGAAGAAATCTTGTCGGCTTTGACTTTGGTTTTCCCACTGGATGGGGAGGCCTGCTCTTATCTTGGCTCGGCTGCTTCATTGCATTGCATGGTGTGGTTTTTGGAAAGTGGAGATTTGTCCCACAGAAGAAACGCAGCTTTGGTGCTCAAAGAGACTCTTTCTTCCGAT